AAATGGTAAACCATTTTTTCAACCCTATTGATCATGGTGTATGATCCTTTTAATGTATTTTTGAATTCAGTTTGCTAATATTTTGTTGAGGAATTTTGCATCTGTGTCTATCAGGGATACTAACCTGTAATTTTCTTTGCTTGTGGCATTCTTATATGGTTTCAGTATCAGGGTAATACTGATCTTTTAAAATGAGTTTGATGGCTGAATAATATTCCACTGTGTGTGCATGTGTTTATGTGTGTACACATCACATCTTTATCCATTCATCAGTCAATGTACATTTGGGCTCTCTCCATAGTTTGGTTATTGTTGATAATGCTGCGATAAACATTGGGGTGCATTCATCCCTTTGAATCACTGTGTATTGTATGTAAGTGATGAATCACTGAATTATTCTCCTGAAACCAATATTACACTGTATGTTAACTAAAATTTAAATTTAAAAAAAGAGTATGAAAGTGCTTCCTCCTTTTCTATGTTTTAGAAGAGTTTGAGAAAGACTGGCAGTATTTATTCTTTAACTGTTTGGTAGAATTCATTAGTGAACCTTTCTGGTCCTGGACTTTCATTTGTTCAGAGTTTTGAATTTTGAATCTGATTACTGATTCAGTCTCCTTGCTAGTAATTGATGTGCTCAGATTTTCTATTTATTCATAATTAAGCCTGGTAGGTTGTATATTATAGGAATTTATTAATTTCTTCTAGGTTGTCCAACTGTAGGCATATAATTATTCATAACAGTCTACTATGAGTAGGTCTCCTCTTTCATTTTTGATTATGCAATGCCCTTCTTTGACTCTTAAGTGTGTGTGTGTGTGTGTGTGTGTGTGTGTGTGTGTGTAATGTATGTATAGGGACCCCAGCTTTCTTCTGGTTGCCATATGCATGAAATGCATTTTTCCATACCCTGACTTTCAGTCTCTTATAAACAGCCTGTAAATGAGTATTTAAAAAAAATCCATGAAGCCACTCTGTCTTTTGGTGGAGAATTAGTCCATTTACATTTAAAGTAATTACTAATAGACATGTCCTTATTGCCATTTTGTTGTTCTCTGGATGATTTGTAATTCTTTTATTCCTTTCTTGTTTCCTTCCATTATGACTCTGTAGTGGTACACTTTGTTTCCTTTATCTTTTGTATATTTACTACAGGTTTTTGCTTTGTGGTTATCATGAGGCTTGTATATATATAACAACTTATATTTATAACTATTTTAAATTGATAGAAACTTAGGTGTAAATACACTCCAATGTTTTACACTTTTACCTTTCCCTTTCCAGATTTTATGGTCTTGATGTCAAATTTTACATCATTTTATATTTTTATCTTTTGTATTCCTTAACTGCTTATTTTGTTGTATTTTTAATACTATTGTCTTTTAACCTCCATACTAACTTCATATGACTGATTCATCTACCACATTTACAATATTATTATGGATTTTTTTAAAAGTTATTTAAGTAATCTCTAAATTCAACATGTGGCTCAAACTCATGACTCTGAGATCAAGAGTTGCATGCTCTTCTGACTGAGCCAGCCAGGTACCCCTGGATTTTACCAAAGATTTGCCTTTACCCATGAGATTTGTACTTCTACATTTTCCCATTACTTATTAGTGCCCTTTTATTTCAGCTCAGAGAAGTCCTTTTACCGTTTCTTGTAAGGCTGGTTTGACATGATGAAGTCCTTTAGCTACTATTTGTCTGGAAAACTCTCTCTCTTCTTCAATTCTGAATGACAACTTGCCAGATAGACTATTCTTGGTTGAAGGATTTTTCTTTCAAGACTTTGAATAAATATATCATCTCACTTCCTCTGGCCTGAAAGTTTGTGCTAAAAAATGTGATGGCTTTATGGAGGTTCCTGGTATACAATAAGTTGCTCTTTCTTGCTGCTTTTAAGCTTTTCTATTCCTCTTTAACTTTGATGTTTTAATTATAATATGTCTTGGTGTGGGTCTGTTTGGATTCATCATCTTTGGCACTCTCTGAGATTCCTAGGTCTGGAAGTCTGTTTCCTTCTACAGGTTAGGAAATATTCAGGCACTAATTCTTCAAATAAGTTTTCTGCCTATAATATGAATATCCATCCACCTGATGTTGTCTCATAAGCCTCTTAAACTAGCTTTATTTTTTTTTAAGTCTTTGTTCTTTTTCCTGTTCTGATTGGATGAGTTCTATGACCTTGGTTTTGATTTCACTAATCCTTTCTTCTGCTTTATCTAGTCCATTGTTGAATCCTTTTACTATATTTTTCAGTACAGTTATTGGATTCTTCATTATATTTTCTCTTTGTTGAATCCTTAGTGTGTTCATGCATTCTCTTGAGTTCAGTAAGCATTTTTATGAGGGTTATATTTTTATCTTCTTATCAGGTTAATCATTTATATGTTTCATTAAGGACTTTTTATGAGGTTTTATCCTTTTCCATTTGAAATATATTCCTGTTTCTTCATATTCCTGGATCTGTGTTGGTTTCTATGCATTGGATGCCATCTCTCCCCATCTTGAAGGAGTGGTCTTGTATAGGAGATGCACCTTAACACTCTGTTCTGCCCTTCTCTAGGTCTTGGTGGTTTCTCAAACCTTTGTGATTGTCTAAGCAGCCTATTGTATCTCTAGTGGTTCCTAGTATTTGAAACTATGCCTGTTATGGTTCCTGGGATAGGGGTGGGAAATCTTAGCACTAGATTCAGGCTCTTTGAAAGCAAAATCCTTCAGCAGCAGCTTTTAAAGTATACAAATGTATATAGTTCTGCAGGACCACAAGTATGATCTTGCCACAACAGCCAATGTAGAAATGTCACCTGGATGTCAGTCACAAAAATTGAAGCAGCAGAGAAGTATATAAGCTCCTTTCTTGGAGTTGCTGGAAACCTGATTTGAGGCAGAGGGAGAGTTCGAAGATGGAGTGCACTGATCGCTATCCCTGTTATACCTACCTCTTCAGGTCCCTAAATCTGTACTGGACAAAATGTATGCTCCTTAAGCCAAAGCTCCAGAACAAGCAAATAGGCCTCTTTCATAAAAGAATGTGGTGTTCAAGTCATCTGTTGTGTCCTGTAGATGGTAGCCAGACAAGAACTCACTTTCAGATTGTTACTTAAGCTAGGTGATCAAGAGGTGTCTCCTGGGCAGCAGCCACAGAAAAAAAAGGTACAAGACTTCTGTCTGAGTTTCTATCTGGGAGACCCTGGCGCTTTGGAACATGGCAGAGAGAGAAAGAGAGTACAAAAATAATGTCTGCCCTCTGAGGTCTCTGGAAAGGATTATAGTCAGCCCTGAGATGTGTATTTAATTAGAAGTCTGCCCCTCAGGTTGCAGCTATGAAGATAAGCTAACAGGCCTATTTTCACAGAAAGACTAGGCTCCTGGGTCTGTTGCCTCTTGCTGTGTACTGGGGGTGGTAGTTGGTTAAGAATTCTTTCTCCATTGTTTAATATTAGGTGATAGATGCACTTATGAAAATATATACCAGGTAACACAGTGATTAACTCTGCCTAGAGTTTCATTTCTGAGGAGGAAATTGATAAGCTAAGTAAGTTGTTCTACAGCATCAAGCTTTAACTCTGCTGATGATATGCTAGCTGGCTAGAGAATACAAAATTAAAGAACACTTCTCTTCTCTCTGAAGATTGACAATCTTGAATTAATAGCTTGATAAGGAATCACATAGGTAGTGAGTGAGGTAGCAAGGCTGGTAACCAGTTTGCTGAATTGTTAAAATATCAAAGTTTTTTTTTTTTAATTTCTAGGAGAGAGAGAGAGAGAGAGAGAGAGAGAGACAGCATGAGCAGGGGAGGGTCAGAGAGAGAGAGGAAGACAAAGACTCCGAAATAGGCTCCAGGCTCTGAGCTGGAAGTGAGCACAGAGCCCGACGCGGGGCTCGAACCCACGAACCGCGAGATCATGACCTAAGTGAAAGTCGGACACTTAACTGACTAAGCCACCCAGGAGCCCCAAATATCAAAGTTTTCTATACCAGGTAGTAAATAGCATGTGCTCAAAGAACCCCTCTATTTGCTCTACCCTGCCTGCCCTCGGTACCACCTCTACCTCTGTCGGCCCCAGAATTTCCTGTTTTCTAGGAACTAAAGGATCAGTGCCCTTATGCACTCATTAGTTTACATATAATCTCAAGGGATGCACTTTGCCAAGAGAAAAAAGTTACAAGCCTTGAAATAGTATTGAGTATTTAGTAAACTGCAATAAAAAGGCAAGAACACGAAATGCAAGTTGGGGAATAGAAAGAAATAGAATTGATTGATAAGGATAATGAAGATAAAACAAAGATTTTAAGCAGATCTACTTTTAAAAACATTAATTAATTTTGGGGCATATGGGTCACTCAGTCAGCAAAGCATCCGATTCTTGATTTCGGCTGAGCTCATGATCTCATGGTTGGAGAGATCAAACCCCTTCCTGGGCTCTGGGTGCACTGACAGCGTGGAGCCTGCTTGACACGCTCTTTCTCCCTCTCTCTCTGTCCTTCTCCTTCTTTCATGTTCTCTCTCTCTCCCTCAAAATAATTTAAAAAAAATTTTTGACCAACCTTAGTACATAAGTACTGACCAAGGAAGTTTGCATCTACATTTGCAAGAATAAATATAGACTTGAATGCAGGAATTTACAGGATATATTATGCTAATATTACCCTACTCTGCGATTGGTGATTTCAGTATCAGAAAGACTGAAAATCACTGGGGGGAAAATAAAACTTGGTTGACCTGGAGTAATATTTTTTTTTCTCATTTCACTCAGAACATTTTACCAAATAGTGACTAAATACTGATAAATAAAAGTTTATTCATCAGTGTGAACAGGCATGGGATCACTCAGAAGTTTTGGATTTTAAAGGGCCAGTAAGAAAGGTTTACTTGTATGGAAGTATTGATAGAATTGGTTCTCCATTACTTTAATGCCTTGTTTCCAAGAGAAAAATAATATATTCTTCATTAATGGAAATCCAGGTTAAATGATAAACACCCAAAAAACAGTACCTGAGCAAATCAATATTTTATTTTTACATCACAGTTTACTGTTCTTCCTAACTGGCAGTCAGTCACTGCATTGTAAATACTGCCAATCATGATATAATTCTGATCACTGTGTGTTTCATCTTAAGAGTAAATGAGATTACTCAATTACTTCCATCAAATATTAATTTTCATATTCTTTCATTCACCAGCAAGCACCAACAATCAAACAAAATTAAAGCCCAACAATCAATGGGATAAGTATACATAACAAAGATTCTCAAATTTATCCCCTGTAAGACATGGGAATAAGATTTTCATATTCCTAAAGGTCTGTATTTTGGGGAGCATTAAACAATAGGGTATTACAATTAAGCACAAAATCAACTGATGTTTAATACTGTTTAAAACTCTTTAATAATATGAATCATCTCATTTGAAATAAGCTTTGCCATTTTCATGGTTCGTCCTCTCCATCTCTTTTCCTGTGACTGGTGGTGTCAGCCTCCCAATGTCAGCAGCTGAGGGAGACTCACGTCTTCATTCCACTTCGCTCTGAACGAGTAAGCGCTCTGGAGGAAGAACAGATTCCAATTTCTGCCAGCGCTCTGGAGGCCACAGGATATGTGTAGCATGGGCATGCAGAAGTCCTAGGGAAACCTGAACCCATGAGAGATGCAAAGAAAATCAGAAAAAAATTACTTTGATCCAGGTCTGATAGTTCCTAGATGATGAATAAAAATAATAGGAAACATTCTGATGGTACTTTTCTAAGTTTAATGTATGGAAGTATTGATAGAATGCCATTAATCCTCACAAATCATTTGGGATAGGTATTACCCCTGTTCTGCATATGAGAAAACAAAATTAAAGTTGGTTAAGGAACTTGCCAAAAGTCCTATAGCTACTAACTGGTGGAGGCTGGCTTCAGAGCCGAGCCATCCAACTCCAGAGTCTGCATGCAACCTTGAACACACTCCTCCCTAACCAGCTTGTTTACACCCAGGAAACAAACATAAATCTGGTTTGCATTGTCAGAATTTTCTATATAGGTATCAGTATTTCAGAGAGACTGGACTTTGTGGAAAAGTCAGAGACATGGAAAAAAATTTTTTTTCCACCTACTGGCTGAGTAGCAGAAAGTAGATGTGAGACTAAGTCCTTTCTTGGAAACTACATGGAACTAGTGCTCACAGAGGGAGGTGGAAAACCAAGGGAAAGCCAGCAATGGAGGATAGGAAGCAGGGAAAAAGAATCCCCTATAAAGATCATGACAGAGGGAAAAGAATCCCTTGGATTAAAGAGGAGGTAACTACAGGGAAGTCCTCCTGGAGGACTGAAGGCTGAGCACTAGGTTTCCCTGGGGGCATCAGCTGCAGTGAGCAGAAGAATGGGGCAAACCTGTTTAAAATGTAGAACCAGGTTCTATTCTCAGAGATTACCGTTCAACAAGGTGGAGGCAGGGTTTAGAAATCTGTGCCTTTTGTTATGGATGCTATTTTTGTTAATAGATAACATTTTAATAGCACTTAAAAGTTTACAAAATACTTATATTCAGCACATTATCTACTTAGTGGTAGCTGTAAATCAGATACTATGGGTTGACTTTTTATTTTCAAATGTTTTTCCTATAAATTGGAGTTCCATAGAGATTAATATACAAAACTGCTTTCATTGAAGTTCTGTTTCCTAGCATCTGCATTCAAGAAATCACATTGCACAGAGACTCAAAGAACTGGATGTCAAGTGAGAGATTCTAAAAAGGTAACTAGAAACACATGTTTTTGAAAAAGAAGGGGGGAAAAAAACCTTTGCAACAACTTGGAATACAAGCAAAATAAGCCCAAAGTCTATCAAGAAGTCCCAGGGGCCCAATAAAGGAATATTACTTTGAAAAATCAAACCTACAGGAAACTTGAAAATGTGGTGGATAAAAAAGCTCTATTCACCCAAATTCACCAGTTATTTACATTTTGTTGCATTTGTTCCTTTTGAACCATTTGAAAGTTGCTGACATTATAAATTTATTCCTACTTTTCCACATATGTCTTCTTAGAACTAAGACTCTTTTCTACATAAACATAATACATTCTATGTAAGCTATTAATGATACAATATTACTTCCAACAATCCAAATTTTTCAACTGCCCCATTAATGTCTTTTATAGCTATTTTTTAAGTTCTTAATCAAGGGTCCAAAATTACATCATAATTGTAATTATTTTTGTTCATGGCTTTTGCCTTGTAAAATATCCTACATTTAGAATTGCTCAATTTTTCCTTTCCTGAATAGTTTTAAGTTAAATGTTCTTGGCAAGAACACAGTGTACTTGATAGTGTATTCTTCCCATTCTGTCATGTCAGAAGGCACAGATATCTTCTTGTCCCATTGTTGTGATGTAAATGAAGTTTCATCATTTGATTAATGTGAAATTGACCAGATTCCTCCACTATAAAAAAAATTGTTTTCCTTTTGTTGTTAATAACTAATCTGTGGGATGATATTTTGAAATATATAAGTATCCTGCATCAAAATTTCATGTAATCAATTCACGGTCTCTGAAAGAAGGTGGCTTTTAAATCATCTGATAGTTTTAACATCCATGGATGATCCTCCCTGAATCAGTTATTACATCAATGAGGACACTGGTGAGTTTCCTGATTTATTATTCCTTTCATATTTAATAGCTTTTATTTTTCTCTAAAGTACTTCCCTTTCCAACCCCAAATTCTTCTTTTATATCAAAGATTGTTTCTTTCAAAATATGTTATGAGTTTCTGGTTTAATGTTCCGATGTCCACAGTGGGGAGGTTCTTGATCAATGATGGACATATCTCCATCAGTCTCTGGGCACTTCCTTACCTTTTGGTACCACTAGATGCTGTAGACTTGCTCCTACTTTATAGTGGTTGGGCCTAACACTGGACATCTCATTAAAGAGGCTTGGTTTTACCAAGGAATACTATTTAGAAACCAAAGCCTGCTATTATAGGTACTTATTGCGCTGAGGGTGTCAATATTCAAAGCCATTTCATAAAATAAACATAAAAAAATCCAAAACCCCAGGGCTTTCCCTCACCTTCCCTCAACCCATATTTCTATTTCCTTTCTTCCAGAGCGAGCAGATTTCCAACAACAACAAATTTAGTATTCAAGGTTTCTTTGCAATTATTTTAATCCTTAAAATACATTGCATGTTAAGGATATATTTATTCTAATTTGTCTTTCTCTCCATTGTGTAGTTGTGTTAAATACTGTTAGATTTATTTGTTTCTATTTAATTTTAGTGTGCTTTTGTTATCCTTTTGGTCTATTTTTGAATATATAAACATATGCATGGCTCAGAAGTCAAAATTATTCCTAAAAGGTGAGGTAGGCAGAATGCCCCCCCAACACACACTCTGTAAAAATGTCCATATCCTAATGCCCAGAAGGTGTGACTATGCAATGCTACAGAGCAAAGAGGAATTACAGATGGACTTAAGGCTAGTGATTAGCTGACCTTAAGATACTGACACTATCCTGTAACCTCCAATACACCCAAATGTAATCACAAGAATCCTTAAATATAGATAAGCTAGGCAGAAGGGTCAGATTTAGACAGAGATGTTATACTGCTTGATTTTGAAGATGGAGAATAGGGCCATGAGCCAAGGAATGCAGGTGGCCTCTAGAAGCTAGCAAGGAAACAGATTATCCCCTAAAGCTGTCAGAATAAATGCAGCCCTGCTGAGACCTTGATTTTAGCCCAGTGAGATCCATATTGGACTCCTGACCTACAGAATTGTGAAATAAATTTGGTGTTTTAAGCTACTATATTTGTGGTAATCTAGTATACTAGCAATGGGAAACTAATAAAAAAAACAATATACACAGTGAAAGTACATTTCCATCCACCACTGCACCTTTATATATGAACTATTTTCATTAGTTTGTTTCTTTTTTGGAAAAAAGACATATTTTTATTTCCCCCCCTTTTTTTTTTTTACTCATACCAAAGGTAGAACACTTCATTCCCTTTTGTAACATCCTAGAAACCAGTTGCTAACCTCTCATAGAAAGGGAACATGTGGTTTTCACAACCCCTCCCCTCAGTGATTCTGATTAACCTCATCAGGAACCTAGGATCCGAATTTTCCACTTAGCATCACACCCAGAAAAAGTGAACCAATTTTAAAGAATCCCTTGATATATTCTGGAACATGCTAAGTAACCATTCCAAATATGTTAACTGCCAGGAGCCTAGATCTAAATGGTCTGTTATAGTAAAGTTTTTATCTATTTTTCTTCTTGTCTGGGCTCCCTGGAGCTATAGGACAGCTGGCCTCTATCCTCTCCACAATTACCCTTCTTAGATTTGATAGCTGCTACTCCGTTGTTCTTCAACCATTTATTTGCTGTTACAAGTTGTATAACTTTTTTTCAAATGGTTGAGCTGGTCTTTTTACTTTGCGGAACCCTTGCCAATATATTTGCTTGCTTTCTTGTTAATTCAATTTTTTAAAATCTAGATTCATTTTACTGAAACCTGGAATTGTTTTATTCTGAACATTTATTTGGTATACTACTCACTTTCTGAAAAAAATTTCATTTTTATAACTAGGAATGTGAAAATTTTCATAGATGCAGAATATTAGTATTGTTTAAAAGTATTGTTTGGAATGAAAAATTTAAGTGTTTCTTTAAGAAAGACTAAGGTATGAAAACAGCCCATGTACTCTCTTAGCAGTCCTGTCACAGATCTTTATTTTTACTGATCTGCATACAGACATGCAAAGAGTGTAGTGAATACAGGACAGAAAAATCCAGAAATTAAAAATTAAAAGCTATACTTCAGATAAACCAGCTTTGGTTTTCATACATACTATACTAGGCCGGGTCCTCCAGAGAAACAAAACTAATAGGGTATGTGTGTATATAAAGAAATAAATAAATTTATTTTAAGGATTTAACTCCTGTAATTGTGGAGATTTGGTGCTTTCAAAATCTAATGGGGAAGGCCAGAGGGCAGAATACTCAGGAAGAAGTGCAGTTTAAGCTCAAAGACCATAGTCTCTGGGCAAATCCCTTATTGCTTAGGGAAGTCAGCCTTTTGTTCTATGCAGGCCTTCAGCTGATTGAATGAAGCCCACCCACCTATTGGAGAACAATCAGTGTAAAAACTCCCTTGGGCCAAAAGGTGCGAATGAGGAAATACCAACCACTGTTTGATCTCAAACTTTACTAGGGTAAAAGGTCAGGGGTTGAGGAACCCAGCTCTTCCTGGGTCCAGCAAGCTCCTGAGATGTAAATCTTTAATGAACACTGTGATTAGAACAGTCAAACATGTTCTTCAAGCAACTGTTAAGCAACCCCCACCTCTAAAACTCTCACTTCTGTACACCGGCTTCACCCCTCTCCCTATATAAACCCTGAGCTATGGCTTGGTTGGGCTCTCTTCTGAGGACTTTTCAGGTGCTTGGGAGGGGCCAGCTGGACAGACTAAAATAAACCTGAATAACCAACTCCTTTTGTGTTTTGTAGGCTTTGTTCCAGGCGATTCTCCTTTGGAAAGGGAGGTCTAACATTTTGGAGGCCCCAAGGAGATCCCAAGGACAAGAAAGCCTTTCGGTTGGACCTTGGAGCCAGGCTGTGGCCTTGCAGATTGGTCCAGGTTTAT